AGCATGTTCCTCCAGGCTGCGGCAGATTGGTTCGTGATGCAGTCACTTGCGACCGGTTACTGCGTGTGGCAAGATGGCGGATGCGGCGGAACTGTGACATGGCGGTTGATGCGGCGGGCAAGCTGGCGGAGGTGGAGCATGGTGGCGCATGCGGCTAGTGGAACTGCAGCAAGTTGGCACATGCGGCTAGCGGGCTGGCGGAACTGCGGTAGTGTGGATATCTCGGTCGGCTGCAGGGTGAGAGGAGCTGCGATAGTGCGGAGAGCTCGGTCGGGGGGAGGGGGGGGGGCAATAAAGAAGGAACAGCCACCACCAATAATTATCAGCTTCGGTCATTGAAATATTTGGTGTTGAAAGCAGCAAGAACCGACGTGCCTGGGGCGGCCTCCACCTTCTGCTGGCCACCGACCTTCCCACAGTGTTTGGCTCACCCACACGCGCCTCCTGCTCACCCCTCCTGAACGAACCATTACGACACTGCCCATTAAATTACCTCCGGCATGTACACAATCATATAATAGTCTTGTTAATGGGCCAATTTTTATTTTTTTTTGTCGTTCTGGAAAAGACGATGCGGTTGCGGCCGCCATATTGCCGCAGGCGGTCTCCATTGCACGACACTACAAGAAAAATTTGCCAGTCTCCCTGAAATCGTGTCATTTGTAAAGTCATATTTCCTTGAGGAGCGACTCATTGGGGGAGACTTAAGCCTGGGGGGGGGGTGGACGCTCAGGTGGTGTAGACGCTTGTTGAGACAATATAGACGGCATTTAATAAGTAAGATACATTATAAGGATCTGAGGGCATTGGTGACGACTACTTGGTGAGGGACATTGGTGCCTTCAGTGATCAGCGTCATACATACTTGTTTACAAACTCATCGTCCTGTCAGGTTGGTGCAGGGGTCGGCGTCCACGTCCCACCAGCCCCTGAGGCCATGACTAAATAACCAATACTACTCACAAATTACTGACTAATTCTTTTTTTTCCCACCTGGTTTTATGAAGACGTTGGCGAGTGTGGACACCATCTGTCAGCGTGATGTGACCGGCAGTTACTGAGGCGGTACACGCTAGTCACATAACGCAGTGCCACACTCTTGTTATTAAGTCGTGTCACGCCGCTTATATAGTCGGTAACGCGGGGAGTGTTACTGGCGACCTTGCCAGTTGGTTTTGTAGCCATGTATGTCATGCCTGTCACAGTTTTGTAATGAAAGAGGGTCGTGACATGACACCAGCCGTGACAGTGCGTGGAGTGACGGGGTAATAATGCCTGATGAACATTGCTTGAGGCACTCAGGTAATCCTCCTTGTGCTTTTCAATGTTTCACGGGAACAGCATCTCACCATTTTAACTTTTGCCGTATTCAATACTTCCTCATCACCCACCATCTTGAGGTTTGATAATGACGCTGTTTTGATTCTCTTCATATAAGGAAGCCGCCCCGGATCTACACCAGGTGGACAGATATAGTTGGAGACGTTTGTACACAGTGTGGTAATCGGGGGGGGGGGGGATCACCACACTGTGTACAAACGTTCGAGCGGCTCTCTTCATCCTTACTTCCGGGGCGACGTTTCACATGGTGTCAGGTGCTGCTGGTGTGGTGGTGGCGGCGGAGGAAGGGAATCTTCAAGCTTGATTTTTAATGTATGCAAATGATTTCAGTTTTACGACAGCTGTAATTGACGTCACGATATCAGGTGGACTTGTGGTTGTAGTGTGGTGATGGTGTGGTGAAGGTGTTAGTGTTGGGGATGATACTGGTGATAGTGCTATAGTGTTGTTGGTGTTGGTGATGATGTTAGTGGTGTTGTTGATGGTGGTGGTGGTGATGATGTGTTCAAGTATGTTCACGTGTTACCTGGGAATGTGATGATAGTTTTATAATTACCTGTTGTATTGAAATAACTGTTTGTATTAATGAGAGTCTTACAGTACTGGACTACGGATGGTGTAAATGAAACGAAAAGTTACGCTAGGTTAGATTAGGTTAAATTAGCTTAGGTTAGGCTAAATTAGCTTAAGTTCGACTAAATTAGCTTAGGTTAGGTTAAATTAGCTTAGGTTAAATTAGCTTAAGTTCGACTAAATTAGCTTAGGTTAGGTTAAATTAGCTTAGGTTAGGTTAAATTAGCTTAGGTTAGGTTAAATTAGCTTAGGTTAGGTTAGGTTAGGCTGTGGAGTTCGCTGAAAAAATTCTCCTGTAAATAAAATGCCACTGTTTCTTTAACTTCCGGGGCACTGGAGCGGTGAGTGCCAGAAAGTGCCATACGTGCCCAGTATTTTAACAGCACACAAGAGATGGGTAGTAGGGAGGGCCGTCCGTAACCAGGAAGAGTCACACTGGGTCACTTTACACTTCAGGGAGAGTCACAGTTAGCACTTTACACTTCAGGGAGAGTCACAGCTAACACTTTACACTTCAGGAGTCACAGTTAACACCTTACACTTCCGGGAGAGTCACAGTTAACACTTTACACTTCAGGGAGAGTCACAGTTAACACCTTACACTTCAGGGAGAGTCACAGCTAACACTTTACACTTCAGGAGTCACAGTTAACACTTTACACTTCAGGGAGGGTCACAGTTAACACTTTACACTTCAGGGAGAGTCACAGCTAACACCTTACACTTCAGGGAGGGTCACAGTTAACACTTTACACTTCAGGGAGAGTCACAGTTAACACCTTACACTTCAGGGAGGGTCACAGTTAACACTTTACACTTCAGGGAGAGTCACAGTTAACACTTTACACTTCAGGGAGAGTCACAGTTAACACCTTACACTTCAGGGAGAGTCACAGTTAACACTTTACACTTCAGGAGTCACAGTTAACACTTTACACTTCAGGGAGAGTCACAGTTAACACTTTACACTTAACACCAGGCTACTGAATAAAATATTGCCTCGTTACAATGTCGAGCGACCACCATTAATCAGACGGGGTGGTGAGCTGGGAAGTGATATTGCTCTGCCACCGCTGCCGCCCCCGTCCTCCCGGCGCCACCCACTGCTGCCCCCCCCCGCCCTCCCGGCCGCCCATCGCTGCCACCCTGCCGCCCACCGCTCTCCATATTGGCAGCGGCACCAATTGTTGTGGGTCCATTAATAACAGTGACGCTCTACCATCGTCCACACGCTTCATTTATCACCTCGTGGCACTTTTGATGACTGGCACCAGTTGGCACCTCAGCTTGTACTGCCTCTGACTGGTGGTGCTGGTGCTTTAAGTTGACTGACTGACTGTTTGGCTGTATCTGAAGGTGTAAATTAACTGAATGACTGGCTTACTGACTCGTCCTCATGCTGGTGTTATAAGTTGACGGCCTGACTGACTGTTGTAAACCGAATAATGTTAATAACATGATGATAACCTTGTGTCAACCAGGTACACCCATCAGTAACACTGTTCTCCCGCCATCAGGTACACCCATCACTAACACTGTTCTCCCCCATCAGTGACACTGTTCTCCCCCATCAGGTACACCCATCACTAACACTGTTCTCCGCCCATCAGTGACACTGTTCTCCCGCCCATCAGGTACACCATCACTAACACTGTTCTCCGCCCATCAGGTACACCCATCACTAACACTGTTCTCCTCCATCAGGTACACCCACCACTAACACTGTTCTCCCGCCCATCAGATACACCCATCACTAACTGTTCTCCGCCATCAGGTACACCCATCACTAACACTGCTCCCCATCAGGTACACCCATCACTAACACTGTTCCCGCCCATCAGGTACACCCATCACAACACTGTTTCCCGCCCATCAGGCACACCCATCACTAACACTGTTCTTCCGCCCATCACTAACACTGTTCTCCGCCCATCAGGTACACCCATCACTAACACTATGGTCTCCGCCCATCAGGTACACCCATCACTAACACTGTTCTCCCGCCCATCAGGTACACCCATCACTAACACTGTTCTCCCGCCCATCAGGTACCCATCATAACACTGTTCTCCCGCCCATCAGGTCACCATCACTAACACTGTTCTCCGCCCATCAGGTACACCCATCACTGACACTGTGATCTCCGCCCATCAGGTACACCATCAGTAACACTGTTCTCCCGCCATAGGTACACCCATCACTAACACTGTGTTCTCCGCCCATCGGTACACCCATCACTAACACTATGTTCTTCCGCCCATCAGGTACACCCATCAGTAACACTGTTCTCCGCCCATCAGGTACACCCATCACTAACATGTTCTCCCGCCCATCAGGTACACCATCACTAACACTGTTCTCCCTCCATCAGGTACACCCATCACTAACACTGTTCTCCCTCCCATCAGGTACCATCAGTAACATCTCTCCGCCCATGGTACACCCATCACTAACACTGTTCTCCGCCCATCAGGTACACCATCACTAACACTGTTCTCCCGCCATCAGGTACACCCATCATTAACACTATGTTCTCCCGCCCATCAGGTACACCCATCACTAACACTGTTCTCCGCCATCAGGTACACCCATCACTAACACTGTTCTCCTGCCCATCAGGTACCATCACTAACACTGTTCTCCCCCCATCAGGTACACCCATACTTCTACTGTTCTCCCTCCCATCAGGTACACCATCACTAATTGTTCTCCCTCCATCAGGTACACCCATCAGTAACACTGTTCTCCCTCCCATCAGGTACACCCATCACTAACACTGTTCTCCCTCCCATCAGGTACACCATCACTAACACTGTTCTCCGCCCATCAGGTACACCCATCACTAACACTGTTCTCCCTCCCATCAGGTACACCCATCAGTAACACTGTTCTCCCGCCCATCAGGTACACCCATCACTAACACTGTTCTCCCTCCCATCAGGTACACCCATCATAACATTGTTCTCCCTCCCATCAGGTACACCCATCACTAACACTGTTCTCCGCCATCGGTACACCCATCACTAACACTGTTCTCCCGCCCATCAGGTACACCCATCATTAACACTATGTTCTCCGCCCATCAGGTACGCCCATCAACCGGCTGCCCATCATGGCCAAGCAGGTGCTGGACCTCTACGAGCTGTACAACCTGGTGGTGGCCTCGGCGGCCTCGTGGACGTCATCAACAAGATTGTGGCAAGAGATTATCAGGGACTGAAACTGCCTTCCTCCATCACCAGCGCCGCCTTCACCCTGAGCCAGTAAGTTCTTGTGACCTTCACACTCAGAACCCAGTAAGTTTGTGACCTTCACCCTCAGAACCCGTAAGTTCTTGTGACCTTCACCCTCAGAACCCAATAAGTTCTTGTGACCTTCACCCTCAGAACCCAGTAAGTTCTTGTGACCTTCACCCTCAGACCCAGTAAGTTCTTGTGACCTTCACCCTCAGAACCCAGTAAGTTCTTGTCACCTTACCTCAGACCCAGTAAGTTCTTGTGGCCTTCACACTCAGAACCCAGTAAGTTCTTGTGGCCTTCACCCTGAGAACCCAGTAAGTTCTTGTGACCTTCACCCTGAGAACCCAGTAAGTTCTTGTGACCTTCACACTCAGAACCCAGTAAGTTCTTGTGGCCTTCACACTCAGAACCCAGTAAGTTCTTGTGGCCTTCACCCTCAGAACCCAGTAAGTTCTTGTGACCTTCACCCTCAGAACCCAGTAAGTTCTTGTGACCTTCACCCTCAGAACCCAGTAAGTTCTTGTGACCTTCACACTCAGAACCCAGTAAGTTCTTGTGACCTTCACCCTCAGAACCCAGTAAGTTCTTGTGGCCTTCACCCTCAGAACCCAGTAAGTTCTTGTGACCTTCACCCTCAGAACCCAGTAAGTTCTTGTGGTTAAAACTGTTTACCTGTACCATACGGAAGAGTGACACAGTTCCCCCATCACCAGGTAAGTGAGGGAGGTAATTAAGTCCCTCAGGTGGAATATTAAGTTGGTTTATGGTTCATTGTGGACGACGCATATTCTTCACTCAATGGTTGATCTGGTCGCTGGAATATGTTGAGAATTTGCGTTTTCTTTTGTTATTTTCCTCTTAAATCTTCTTGAATACTTTCCACTTTGATGTTGGACTCGTGTTCTTCCTCTTAGTTGTTGTAGGGTTTTGGAATGCGGTTAAGTTAGTCAATATACAACGCTTGGGATCACCTGAAGATTTAGACATCCCAAGTTGGGTTTCATCTGATGATTAACCACCTGAATGCTAACCAAACTTAACCTAATTCCCCTCCAGGTAGGATTAGGGTGTTTAATCTTAAGGTGAAATAAGCTAGGGTGTCTAATCTTCTGGTGACCCAACGTGTTCTATAAGCTCGGGAAAGTACGGATACATAACTCAAAACACTAAGCCATCGGTATACAAGGAGGGAGTGTGACCGGTACAGTACTACACTCGACCGACTTCACTTTCTCAATTGTAAATATAGGTAGTCACTGATATTTGGGTTGCTGGATGAGCCCCGGGCGCGAACTAACGACTCTTAGTACAGAACCCGAGCGCTATATCCACTAGACCGTCGCACTCGTAAATGATTGGAGTGGAAAATTATAATTGTTCTCGTAATGGCAACTCACTGTGACCTATGGCAGCTGTGAGGGGCGTTTTGTTTTCCTGTGTGGTGGACGTGTATGGAGGACGGGTATGGAGGACGGGTATGGAGGATGTGTGTCGGCGCTGTAGAACCTTCCTCAGGTCTCGTCAGCAGGAATAAGGTTAGGTTATAGGGGACTCAGATGTCTCCCTCGGTCTCACTTTAGATTAGTCATTTGATGCATCAGATCTGTTCACCGTTGGTCACAGAGGCTCACAGAGGCTCACAAGGGGTCACAGGAGGCACAAAAGGTCACAGTCCAAATCAGTGGTGTCAGACGTCCAGGCACTGTGCTAATAATCAGCAGAGGTCGCTGTTGAGAGGCCAGTATTCGACAACAACACTACCAGCGTCATTAGGCCCTGAGAAGAGTGGCGTGGCGTGAATAATGCGATCCCCCCCCCCCCTCCCCACCCCACGCCTTCCCACGCCCGCCCATCGCAGGAAATTGAGGCGTGCATAAGTGATGAGACGCAGGTAGCCACCGTGGAGGAGTGGACCAGGATACTCAGGTGATAATGGCTCCTCAGATCCCATTACCTTCACCCATTATTAAACTCATTAGTCTGGCTACTGTGAGGGTAATTATCACGAACGTATGTAATGGTTTCTTCACTCAGTATTATTTACCACGAGTTGGATAAATAACATCTAACGTATTAAAGCTTCGTGTGTGTGGGGGGGGCTTAGGGAGGAAGGTAGAAAGTGAGGAGGTAAATGCGAGTGGGGAGAGTGGGGGAAATGTAGGAGTCTTGGCAATTGTGGGGGAGTCCATCTGTGTTCCTTCGATTTCAGTACCAATTCTTCCTTCCTTCCTTCCTTCCTTCCTCATCCCAGTGAATTTTTTTAATAATGATAAAAATAACAGTAATAATATTAACAATAATAGTACTGAAAAAATATTAAAACTAATGGTAGTAAATTAAAAAAGTTATAAATAATAAGAGGAAGAACGGCAAGAATGATGACGATGATAATAGTATTAATAATAGAATGCCAGACAGGGAGGTGACAGACAAAGAAACAAGACAGGGAGATTGGCAGACAGTTAGGCAGAGTGGCAGACAGAGTGGCAGACAAACAAACAAACAGACAAGGCAGTCATAAGGCAGGCAGGTTTTAAGACAGACAGACAGACAGGCAAGTGACTGGCGTGATGAAGTTGACCATTAAACCAGGCGAGACCAAAGAGCCCGCGGGCGTAGAAAACCCCGCCCACGCCCACAGCCTCACCACAACTTTCTCACACCACCTTACCTCCTCGCCTCACTACCAATTGTTAAAAAAAAAAGCCTCGATTGGTTATTTGTTTATTCTATTATTGTTATTATTATTATTACTATTTTTTTTTTACCACTGGTGACGCAAATAGGCAGGAACATATGTCTTGGTGGCTGGGGGAGAAGATGTTGCTGCTGCTGCTGTCACTAGTTTCGGTTTGTTGATGCATAAAACGAACTAATTGGTCGCGTTCTTTTTATTGTTGTTGCTCTTCTTCTTGGGTAGAAGAAGAAGAACAACTAAGAAGAACGTAGAAGAATTTAATTTCCTAAGTGTGAACAGGTTTGAATTTGTGTTTTGATAATTGATCTCTTTTTTGGGGTAAACATTTCGGATTTTGATTGACAGGTAGACCAGGTGTGTGTGTGTGTGTGTGTGTGTGTGTGTGTGTGTGTGTGTGTGTTGTGTGTGTGTGTGTGTGTGTGTGTATGTGTGTGTGTGTGTGTGTGTGTGTGTGTGTATGTGTATGTGTATGTATATGTGTGTGTATGTGTGTGTGTGTATGTGTGTGTGTATGTGTAATATGTATGTATGTATGTATGTATGTATGTATGTATGTATGTATGTATGTGTATGTATGTATGTATGTGTGTGGCTATGTGTGTGTGTGTGTGTGTGTGTGTGTGTGTGTGTGGCATGTGTGTGTGTGTATGTGTGTGTGTGTGTGTGTGTGTGTGTGTGTGTGTGTGTGTGTGTGTGTGTGTAGCCCTGTGTGTGTGTGTGTGTGTGTGTGTGTGTGTGTGTGTGTGTGTGTGTGTGTGTGTGTGTGTGTGTGTGTGTGTGTGTGTGTGTGTGTGTGTGTGTGTGTGTGTGTGTGTGTGTGTGTGTGTGTGTGTGTGTGTGTGTGTGTGTGTGTGTGTGTGTGTGTGTGTGTGTGTGTGTGTGTGTGTGTGTGTGTGTGTGTGTGTGTGTGTGTGTGTGTGTGTGTGAAAACTTTGATATTGTTATTGAAATTTTAGTGAACATTTCCCAGTTAATAAGGTAGGGTGAATAGATATTAACATAGATGAAATTATTGACAGTCTTGATGGAGCAAAGAAAGTTTTCCCAGCTTCAACAGGTGTTAACTCAGACACACCTGCGAGACTCCATTCACGGATTAATAGTTGATGCCTCGGGGAACACACACCAGGAGAGGACACACCTGTAACGAGAGAGAACACACCTGCTTTGGACGTGAGAACATGTGTCCTTGTCTCTCATATACAGAATCACCGATGACAACCATAATTTACCTGAGTTTGGGCCGTAAATTACATAAACAATTGTTACGTGGGCTCTGGTGAGATGAACCAGGCTTAACCCACTCCTCTTAATAACGCTCAAAGCTGATAGAACCTACCCACCCTATACCCACCCAATACCCACCCTACCCACCCAATACCCACCTAACCACCTGCTCTCTTCTGGCTCCTCAGTTATTTGCGTGATTACCATAACTTTATCGTGGTGCAAAAGAGTTTGACCCCTGAGGCCAAAAGGTGGAAGGGTCCATATAGATAGTGACCTCCTCCCTCCTTGTCGTCACAGAAACGTCCCTAAAAAAACATTAAGATGGGCGGTGATTATAGTTGTCTTTACCAGTTGGCTATAGTGAGTCCTGTGGTGGTCCTTCCCTCACTCACTCCTCACCAGAAAGAGAGAGTAGGAAGCAGATAATGTAACAACCCCTGAGTGTGTGTTCTAGGTATTTATATTAGCCCTTGTGTCTACCTTAATTATGACTTAAATTTCACCTCAACGACACAATCCTTTAGTACGGTTATGGGTCAAAGGCGTCTGATGCAGTTAACATGGTTATCGAGGTGTTCAGTGTGGTTAACAGACACGTGAATGACGATAACTGGCCGAGTTATCAAGGCAACACGAATTATAACCACGACCCATCTCCTCCTCTTCCTCCTTCTCTTCCTCATCCTCTTCCTCCTCCTCCTCCTCTCCCCTCCTCCTCCTCCTCCCCCCTTCCCCAGGACCCAGGGGTTGCAGCAGGTGCCACGCTGGTCATTATCATATGATCGTAAATACCTGGATAATTGCTCCTTCATTCCCCTGATCCACCTGTTGCGGCTTTCCGGATTTTATTGCATGAAATTTTTGGAAAGTTGGCTGCTGTGGAGTTTCATAGCCGACACACACACACACACACACACACACACACACACACACACACACATATTACATACATATCTCGTGACCAAAGAATCAACTCTTGGAATGATTATATATTTTTTTTTCTTCAACACAGTGTCGTTAAAACACATCGAGACGTATCATTACGGACATAGCTAATGCACTTTTATGACGGCAGGGAATGATTCTCGGCGCGTGGTGGTGGAGACGGGTGGTGGAGGTGGAGGGTGATGGTGGATGGAACAGGTTTTTTGGTGGTGGAGAGGATGGTGGAGTTATGGAGAGGGGTGGAGGGAGGTTTTGCTGGTGGAGAGGGGTGAGGTTGGAAGGTGTCGGAGGAGGGTGTTAGGTGTTATGTTATCCTCCTCCTTCCTCCTCCTCCTCCTCCTCCTCCTCCTCCTCCTCCTCCCTCCTCCTCTTCCTCCACCACCTCCTCCTCCTCCTCACTTCCTCCCACCACCTCCTTCTTCCCTCCCATGAATCTTAAATCATAATGGCTGTAATACGAAACGTGTAGTAAAGGATATTATGTGGATTCTTGCACACGAGGAACCTTGTTAGGAAGTCACATTGGGTTAGGTGGACGGCAGTGGACGTTTCTTCTCACCTTCCTCTCCCATCTCTCCCTCATCACATCCCCCACACATCCCCACATCCCCCCCACACACAGTAGCTGAGTTGTATCGTTTTATGCTACGTGTCGCTGCCGCCGCTACTTATCTTAGGCGTTTATTGCGGGATAATTCGTGGGGTTTATTTTCATTATCCACCTGTGACCTGATGCGA